AGGCCTCATGTGGAAATGTGGCTGGTGGCAACTGCTCCCTGGGATCATTGGCTGGGTCTGGAGGGTACTGCACTGCCTGGGGACGCTCTGTCCCTCAAATATCTGCCCACCTGGGGGCCCTGCTGCTCTGAGCTCCCCCTGGACAGGGGTGACCCTAACTGCCCCTTCCCAGATACCCACCTGCCTAGGGAACCCCTTCTCTGAGCTCTCTGTGCCCCCTGTCACCTACCTACCCAAGCTTCCCCTGCCCCAAAGCTTTTTCTGCACCCCCCACACACCTACCACCTGAATACCCTGCTGCTCTGACCTCCCCCTGGACTAGGGGATGGTCCTAAATGCCTCCCCCTCAGACCCCCAAATCTGAATTCCCCACGTGTCTGCAGCTCTCCAGGCCCCCACCTACCCAGGGCCCCCCTGCCCCAAGCTTTCCCTGCCCCCCCGGCCTACCTGGGGACCCTGCTGCTCTGAGCTCTCCCTGGACTGGGGGGGGCCCTACATGCCCCCCTCCCCCCCCCCAAATAGCCACCTGATTGAGAACCCCCAACTCTGAGGTCTCCATGCCCTGCCAGCCCCCTTCTGGCACCTACCTACCCAGAGCCCCCCTGCCAAGTTCTTCCTGCCTCCCTTTGCACCTGTCTCCCCAAGACCCCAGCCCTGTGGGCTCCCTGCCCCTCCCCCCCAATACCCCCTGGGGACCCTGCTGCTCTGAACTTCCCCTGGACTGAGGGTGGCCCCCACACTCACACACACATCTTGAATACACACATGCCTAGGACCCCCAGCTCTGAGCTCCCCATGCCCCTGCAGCACCTACCTACCCAGGATCTCTTACCCCGAGTGCTCCCTGTCCCCCCAGCACCCACCTGCCCAGGGTCCCCGGCCCCAAGCTCTTCCAGCCCCTCCTCCTCCAACACCCACCTGCCAGGCAGCTCCTTGAGGGCCCGCTCGTAGAGCAGGTTGAGTGCGTGGCGCGGTGCGCTCTGCTTGAACTCGATGTAGCGCATCCAGCACTTGACGGAGAAGGGGTTCCGCAGGATCTCCTCCTCGTACTGCAGGTCCTCCTCCTCCTGCCGCCAGCGCATGCTCGGGTCAGCGCGGTGCCCCCACCCCCGACCTCCAGGCAGTGAGAGTGGGGCAGGGTGCAGAGCAGACAGGGCTGGAGGAGTTGGGGGGACACATGGGAGCAGGGCAGACAGCGCTGGGGGGTAGGGCCAGGGGGAGGGGCTGAGAGGAGCACATGGGGGTAGACCAGACAGTGCAGGGGTGGGGCG